CGTGTTTCGCCTCGTAGTAGGTGACCTTGACCAAGCATCCATTACCCAGCTCATAGCAGGTCTACTAGCAACACAATAAATGCGGAAAAGAGAGGCCTGGGGTGAAATTGCTGCCTCATTCAACGCCAGCAACTCTGACCAACTCCCTCGCACAGCCAAGCAGCTCAAGAGGAGCTACGGACACTTAAAAAGGAAGTAGAGTATATGCTTATTAATGTACGGTGTTTTTCCATTAGGTTACTAAATTAAGTAGGATTAGAGCATTTAAGTGACGGGTCATGTGAGGAAGCTCGCCTCCTACCGAAGTAGACAGAAGGAAAGCTCCCATCTCACCTCTCCATTTTCCCTTCCTTCATATCTTTGAGTTGTATATAAAATTAAATGGGTTTTTTATGTCTACTTTCATAATATCTATATGCCTATTGATTGATTTTTCTCTTAAGAGTTATCTGATAAAAATGTGAATTCATAGGGAAGGTACTGGTATGGAGGGTATAACAGTAAATAGGTGCCTCTGCCATACTTTTAGGTTCTCTTGTTTGAAATCTGTAATGCCAATTTTTACCCTGACTATATACAAGCTATATGGTTTCAGAACAATTACCCCCCTCCCCCCACCATAGGACAACTGCCCTCTGGACAATTACTCCCCCCCCCTTCCTTGCCAGTGAATAACTGACACAATCATGGAACACTAAGATATAGTGCTATATTTTCATACTTTTTTTTGTAATAATTATATACACAAAATGACGACTCATAATTTATGGTCAAGTGAAAAAAAATTGTAGATCGGTCATATTTAATATTTTGTCAGGTAAGGCTAGGCTAGGCTATTTCAAGTTAGTTAGGTTATTTCCATGTTTTGTGCCAGTTACTCACTGGCAATGGGGGGAGGGGCCAATTGTCCTAGACCCAAGCTATGCAGCATATAACTCTATATAGCAACATTTTACGACCACGACGTGCACCAAGAAAAATGTGCAAGTCTGGGGCTGGTTCCCCCACACACCTGGCAAGACAAGTTTCAAACAGGTCTGTTCAATTTTTGAAGGGTCACCTCAAAAGACTTGTCAGAAGCATACAAATCCTCATATCTATATATATTATCATATAATAATTTTTTTGCAGATATGACTGTAGCCTACAGTATTTAAGGCCTACTTCAAAAAATGTTTTGTTTGTTTGTTTTCGATCTACTGATGTAAGTGCACAACAGCATCGTTAAGTATAACCATGTTTTTGTACTCCATTTTTATGGCAAATTTACATTTTTTAAACTATATACACTCTTTGAATATTACTGTATTGTAAAATCCTACAAAACCGTCATATATTTCTTTTGTGATGCATATATGTACAGTAAATGATATTAGTCTGTTCTGCATCCCCTTTGGCCATAGGCATTGGTGATGAAAGCATTATAAAAGCCAATGCTGCTGCTATTGTTATACAGCATTAATTTCTTCTGTTTCTTTCAGAACTATAAAAACAGATATAGAAGACCGAAAGCTTAAAAAGACAGGTGGTGGTCCACGAGAAAAAAATATTAAAAGCTTCAGAAGAAACTGCCTTAACAGCATCACTGATGAGGGCCGAGTTAGCAGTGGCTGGTGATTTTTACGAGACCTTCCGCAGTCACCCAGTAGATGAAGAAATAATTCCTTATAGAATGTGCAGATAGGTGAGAATATTTATTGATTTATACAGTTGTATGCATTCTCATTGATACCATTGCTCAATCGCCTTTGGCTGTGTAAAAATCAAACGGCAGCAGTGACCTACCTTATACTGACTTTTTGCAGTTTTGCCTGTTCCAACCCCAGGGCCATCAACTGTGCTCACCAGTCATTGTTCCTGCCTCGACAGTGAATGCTCCTACCTCACCAGTGAATGCTCCTGCCTCGCCAGTCATTGTTGCTTCACCAGTCATTGTTCCTGCCTCACCAGTCCTTGCTCCTGCCTCACCAACACTGGAGCAGGTTCAGGTACATTCAGGAGCCTGGGCATGCGTAACAGACGTGACCAATCGTCCAAGCGGCTAACAAGCCAATCAGTGGTGAATAGGATAAAAGTATATACATGCTGTTAGAAATTTATTTTCTTACATTTTACAATTAAATAATTTGATTTAAAGTAAATAAATCTACATTAATTTATTTTGTCCAAAAATTTCTTAAGTTAAAAAAGCCGTCGGAAGTATAGCGGCTAATATTTTGCTCACACGTCGCCGCGCTTCTCTGGGCGCACACGTCGCCGCGCTTCTCTGGACGCACACGTCGCCGCGCTTCTCTGGACGCACACGTCGCCGCGCTTCTCTGGGCGCGCACGTCGCCACCTCAGCTTGTATGCGGCTGTGTGGGTGGAGCGACCCAAAAATGTTTGGGCGCGCCCCCACACATGCCGTCGTCCAACGGGCGTGTTTCGCCTTGTAGTAGGTGACCGCGACCAGTAGCCGGGGACGTCGAAGGTTCTGTCGGATTGGCACCCCACTACCGACTCTCTCAGCTCGTCTGAGTGGGGGGGGAGGGGGGAGTTCCGCACGACTGGGGGCAACCGCCAGTATCCTGGCTGTCCTACGACAGTCGTAGAGAAGAGCGCCGCCTCCACCTCGACTGTGGGGGTTCGCTCTCGCGATGTGCAGAGGGTCGGTGATCCACCCGACCCACCTCGGAACACGGACCACGGAGTCTAGCGTGTGTGGGAGTCGATGGGCTCACTGAGCCTGAAGGCGAGATGAGGGCAACGGACGCCTGGTGCGTCCTGGGCAGATCCTCAACCGGCTGCCTCTGGCCACGCCCGCGCGGCGTTTGCCGGGTGAGACCCCCAGGGTCTCACCCGGCGTATTGCCGCGCGAGCGCGGTCGGGGTGGTTGGTTGGGGGTCTGCCCAGGACGCACCAGGCGCCTGTTGCCTTCATCTCGCCTTCAGGCTCAGTGAGCCCATCGACTCCCACACACGCTAGACTCCGTGGTCCGTGTTCCGAGGTGGGTCGGGTGGATCACCGACCCTCTGCACATCGCGAGAGCGAACCCCCACAGTCGAGGTGGAGGCGGCGCTCTTCTCTACGACTGTCGTAGGACAGCCAGGATACTGGCGGTTGCCCCCTGTCGTGCGGAACTCCCCCCTCCCCCCCACTCAGACGAGCTGAGAGAGTCGGCAGTGGGGTGCCAATCCGACCGAACCTTCGACGTCCCCGGCTACGGGTCGCGGTGACCTACTATGAGGTGAAATACTCCTGATTAGTCCATGAGAAATCAAAGCCTCACACGCTTTGGTCTCTCGGCGCACACGTCGCCACGCTTCTCTGGGCGCGCAGAGTACGCCCCACGCTTCTCTGGGCGCGCACGTCGCCACGCTTCTCTGGTAGCGCCGCGTCGCCACGCGCTTCTCTGGCGCATCGCCACGCTTCTCTGGGCGCGCACGTCGCCATGCTTCTCTGGGCGAACACGTTCCAGCAGTTTTTCTCTGGGCGTGCACGTAGCCATTACAGTTTCCGTCACAGCATATGCTGCAGCCTTCAATGCAGTGGCCCATCGTGTCTTGACCGAGATTTATTCCACCAGTCAATGCGATAACAGCTCGTGGTTCAACATGACCGGGGTGCATGTCTCATTCTAGTACTCGAGCAAACTAAGAATAGTTCTTGCCACAAACTCGAAGCAAACAGGGTGACCCATTCTATCCTCACCTAACAATTGATGATAGTGGGTCCCACCCGCTTGAGCCCATGTCCCCACAAATGATAAAGGTTGAGCTAGTCTTGGGGCACCTGCGTTAACATTTGATAGATATACTGCCCCACTCAAACTTCACACCAAATATTGAGCGGCATGCCGACTCATCGGCGCACGCTTCTCTGGGCGCACACGTCGCCACCTCGGTTGGGTGGGTGGAGCAGCCCAAAAATGTTTGGGCGCGACCCCACACACACGCCGTCGTCCAACGGGCGTGTTTCGCCTCGTAGTAGGTGACCTTGACCAAGCATCCATTACCCAGCGCATAGCAGGTCTACTAGCAACACAATAAATGCGGAAAAGAGAGGCCTGGGGTGAAATTGCTGTCTCATTCAACGCCAGCAACTCTGACCAACTCCCTCGCACAGCCAAGCAGCCGTTTGATTTTTAGACATCCAAAGGAGATTGAGCAATGGGAGTGCATACAACTGTATAAATCAATAAATATTCTCACCTACCTGCACATTCCACAAGGAATTATTTCTTCATCTACTGGATGATTGCGGAAAGTCTCGTAAAAATCATCAGCCACTGCTAACTCGGCCCTCAAGTTTTCGGTCTTTTATATCTCTGTTTTTATATTTCTGAAAGAAAGAGAAGAAATTAATGCTGTATAGCAATAGCAACAGCATTGGCTTTTATAATGCTTTCATCACCAATGCCTATGAGCAAAGGGGATGCAGAACAGACTAATATCATTTACTGTACATATATGCATCACAAAAGAAATATATGACGGTTTTGTAGAATTTTACAATACAGCAATATTTAAAGGGCCTGTAGACAGTTTTAAAACCTGTAAATTTGCCATTAAAAATTGAGTACAGAAACATGGTTATACTTTACGATGCTGTTGTGCACTTACATCAGTAGATCGAAAACAAACAAACAAAACATTTTCTGAAGTAGGCCTTAAATACTGTAAGCTACAGTCATATCTGCAAAAAAATTATTATATGATAATATATATAGATATGAGGATTTGTATGCTTCTGACAAGTCTTTTGAGGTGACCCTTCAAAAATTGAACAGACCTGTTTGAAACTTGTCTTGCCAGAATATTTGGGCTTGCCAGGTGTGTGGGGGAACCAGCCCCAGACTTGCACATTTTTCTTGGTGCACGTCGTGGTCGTAAAATGTTGCTATATAGAGTTATATGCTGCATAGCTTGGGTCTAGGACAATTGCCCCCCCCATTGCCAGTGAGTAACTAGCACAAAACATGGAAATAACCTAACTAACTTGAAATAGCCTAGCCTAGCCTAGCCTTACCTAACAAAATATTAAATATGACCGATCTACAATTTTTTTTCACTTGACCATAAATTATGAGTCGTCATTTTGTGTATATAATTATTAAAAAAAGAAAAGAAAATATAGCACTATATCTTAGTGTTCCATGATTGTGTCAGTTATTCACTGGCAAGGAAGGGGGGGGGGAGTAATTGTCCAGAGGGCAGTTGTCCTATGGGGGGGGGAGGGGGGTAATTGCTCTGAAACCATATAGCTTGTATATAGTCAGGGTAAAAATTGGCATTACAGATTTCAAACAAGAGAACCTAAAAGTATGGCAGAGGCACCTATTTACTGTTATACCCTCCATACCAGTACCTTCCCTATGAATTCACATTTTTATCAGATAACTCTTAAGAGAAAAATCAATCAATAGGCATATAGATATTATGAAAGTAGACATAAAAAACCCATTTAATTTTATATACAACTCAAAGATATGAAGGAAGGGAAAATGGAGAGGTGAGATGGGAGCTTTCCTTCTGTCTACTTCGGTAGGAGGCGAGCTTCCTCACATGACCCGTCACTTAAATACTCTAATCCTATTTAATTTAGTAACCTAATGGAAAAACACCGTACATTAATAAGCATATACTCTACTTCCTTTTTAAGTGTCCGTAGCTCCTCTTGAGCTGCTTGGCTGTGCGAGGGAGTTGGTCAGAGTTGCTGGCGTTGAATGAGGCGGCAATTTCACCCCAGGCCTCTCTTTTCCGCATTTATTGTGTTGCTAGTAGACCTGCTATGCGCTGGGTAACGGATGCTTGGTCAAGGTCACCTACTACGAGGCGAAACACGCCCGTTGGACGACGGCGTGTGTGTGGGGGCGCGCCCAAACATTTTTGGGCCGCTCCACCCACCCAACCGAGGTGGCGACGTGTGCGCCCAGAGAAGCGTGCGCCGACGAGTCGGCATGCCGCTCATTATTTGGCGTGAAGTTTGAGTGGGGCAGTATATCTATCAAATGTTAACGCAGGTGCCCCAAGACTAGCTCAACCTTTATCATTTGTGGGGACATGAGCTCAAGCGGGTGGGACCCACTATCATCAATTGTTAGGTGAGGATAGAATGGGTCACCCTGTTTGCTTCGAGTTTGTGGCAAGAACTATTCTTAGTTTGCTCGAGTACTAGAATGAGACATGCACCCCGGTCATGTTGAACCACGAGCTGTTATCGCATTGACTGGTGGAATAAATCTCGGTCAAGACACGATGGGCCACTGCATTGAAGGCTGCAGCATATGCTGTGACGGAAACTGTAATGGCTACGTGCACGCCCAGAGAAAAACTGCTGGAACGTGTTCGCCCAGAGAAGCGTGGCGACGTGCACGCCCAGAGAAGCGTGGCGACGTGCGCGCCCGGAGAAGCGTGGCGACGTGCGCGCACAGAGAAGCGTGGCGACGTGCGCGCACAGAGAAGCGTGGCGACGTGTGCGCCGAGAGACCAAAGCGTGTGAGGCTTTGATTTCTCATGGACTAATCAGGAGTATTTCACCTCACAGTAGGTCACCGCGACCCGTAGCCGGGGACGTCGAAGGTTTGGTCGGATTGGCACCCCACTGCCGACTCTCTCAGCTCGTCTGAGTGGGGGGGAGGGGGGAGTTCCGCACGACAGGGGGCAACCGCCAGTATCCTGGCTGTCCTACGACAGTCGTAGAGAAGAGCGCCGCCTCCACCTCGACTGTGGGGGTTCGCTCTCGCGATGTGCAGAGGGTCGGTGATCCACCCGACCCACCTCGGAACACGGACCACGGAGTCTAGCGTGTGTGGGAGTCGATGGGCTCACTGAGCCTGAAGGCGAAATGAAGGCAACAGGCGCCTGGTGCGTCCTGGGCAGACCCCCAACCAACCACCCCGACCGCGCTCGCGCGGCAATACGCCGGGTTGAGACCCTGGGGGTCTCAACCCGGCAAACGCCGCGCGGGCGTGGCCAGAGGCAGCCGGTTGAGGATCTGCCCAGGACGCACCATCTCGCCTTCGCTCGGCCATTTCCGTGGTCAGAACGAAAGGCGAAACACGCCCGTTGGACGACGGCGTAATGTGGGGGCTCGCCCAAGCATTTTAGTCGCTCACCCTGCAGCCGCATACAAACTGAAATTGGCAGCGTCTTGGCATGAAAATAGCGGCGACGTGTCATGAAATGACGGCGTGTGCACCCAGAAAAGCAGCGGCAACCGAGCAAAATATTAGCGCTATACTTCCGACGGCTTTTTAATAGAATTTTGACAAAATAAATTAATGTAGATTTATTTACTTTAAATCAAATTATTTAATTGTAAAATGTAAGAAAATAAATTTCTAACAGCATGTATATACTTTTATCCTATTCACCACTGATTGGCTTGTTAGCCGCTTGGACGATTGGTCACGTCTGTTACGCACGCACAGGCTCCTGAATGTACCTGAACCTGCTTCAGTGTTGGTGAGGCAGGAGCAATGACTGGCGAGGCAGGAGCAATGACTGGTGAGGCAGGAGCAATGACTGGTGAGGCAGGAGCATTCACTGTCAAGGCAGGAACAATGACTTGAGCACAGTTGATGGCCCTGGGGTTGGAACAGGCAAAACTGCAAAAAGTCAGTATAAGGTAGGTCACTGCTGCCGTTTGACTTTTACACAGCCAAAGGAGATTGAGCAATGGTATCAATGAGAATGCATACAACTGTATAAATCAATAAATATTCTCACCTATCTGCACATTCTATAGGGAATTATTTCTTCATCTACTGGGTGACTGCGGAAGGTCTCGTAAAAATCACCAGCCACTGCTAACTCGGCCCTCATCAGTGATGCTGTTAAGGCAATTTCTTCTGAAGCTTTTGATAATTTTTTTTTCTCGTGGACCACCACCTGTCTTTTTAAGCTTTCGGTCTACTATATCTGTTTTTATAGTTCTGAAAGAAACAGAAGAAATTAATGCTGTATAACAATAGCAGCAGCATTGGCTTTTATGCTTTCATCACCAATGCCTATGGCCAAAGGGGATGCAGAACAGACTAATATCATTTACTGTACATATATGCATCACAAAAGAAATGTATGACGGGTTTTGTAGGATTTTACAATACAGTAATATTCAAAGAGTGTATATAGTTTAAAAAATGTAAATTTGCCATAAAAATGGAGTACGAAAACATGGTTATACTTTACGATGCTGTTGTGCACTTACATCAGTTGATCGAAAACACAGAAAAAAACATTTTGAAGTAGGCCTAAAATACTGTAGGCTAGTCACAAGGCTACAGTCATACCTTCTATCTATATATATATATATATATATATATATATATATATATATATATATATATATATATATATATATATATATATATATATATATATATATATATATATATATAGACTGGTATGCTTCTGACAAGTCTTTTGAGGTGACCCTTCAGAAACTGAACATAAACCTTTTTAAAACTTATCTTGCAGAATATTTGAGCTTGCCAAGTGTGTGGGGGCACCAGCCCCAGACTTGGTGCACGTCATGGTTGTAAAAAGCTGCACAGCTTGGTTCATGTACAATTGCCCCCCCCATTGCCAGTGAATAACTGGCACAAAACATGGAAATAACCTAGCCTAGCCTCACCTACCTACCTCACCTACCCTAACTTTAACTTAACCTACCTAACCAAATATTAAATACGACTGAGCTACAATTTTTTTTCACTTAACCATAAATTATGAGTTGTCATTTTGTTTATATAATTATTACTACAAATAAAGCACTAATTCATAGTGTTCCATGTCCTACCCTCCATACCAGTACCTTCCTAATAAATTCACATTTTTATCAGATAACTCTTAGGATAAAAATCAATCGATAGGCATATAGGCATATTGTATATAATTTATTTAAGTAGACATAAAAACACTTATTTTTATATATAACTCAAAGATATGAAGGAAGGGAAAATGGGGAGGCGAGATGGGAGCTTTTTGGGCCGCTCCACCCACCCAGCTGCAAACAAGCTGAGGTGGCGACGTGTGCGCCCAGAGAAGCGCGGCGACATGTGCACTCACGTGGTAATGCGCGGGGGAAGGCCCTTTTCCCAGTGGGGGGAAAGGGTCTCAACCACGCAAACGCCACACGTGCACGGCCAGAGGCAGCCAGTTGAGGATCTGCCCAAGACGCACCAGGCGCCCGTTACCTTCATCTCGCCTTCGGGCTCAGTGACCCCATCGACTCCTACACATGCTAGACTCCGTGGTTGTTGTCCCAAGACGGGTCGGGTAGATCAACGACCATCTCGCAGGGAGGCAGGACACCAGTGGTTGCCCCTCTCGCAGTTCAGCCAGGACACCGGAGGTAGCTCGCCACCCCCCCCCCTCCCTCCAAGATGAGCCGAGTCATTGACGGTGTACCAATCCGACCGAGCCTTTGACGTCCCCAGCTACGGGTCGCGGTGACCTTATTACGGATTTGGTTCAGTCTACGTTATTACGTTTAATTAACTTAGGCTGGTTAAGTTAGGTTAGTAAAGTTAGTTGAAACCCACCCACAACAACTTGCTTTACTTGCTGTATTTACTACTACTACCACTACTACTACTAATTTTCTCTAATAACCAATAGGCATGTAGTCCTGTATATTTATACTGTCACTACAACTAATATTAATTTTACTCGAAGACCAATCTGTCCACTCAGTACTCACGAGCCCTCCTTCACACACAGTCCTCCAGAGCCCTCCATCACAGTCCTCCAGAGCCCTCCTTCACACACAGTCCTCCAGAACCCTCCATCACACAGTCCTCCAGAACCCTCCATCACACAGTCAGCCAGGCCCCCCACACACCCTCCACTGCCGAGTGTAGAAGCACGGTGTTGAGTAGTTTATGGGATGACCATAATAGCCAAGATATATATAAGTAACTTAACTGATGAGGCTGAAGTAACATGCTGGGTGTTAAATGTTGCTCAAGGTTCTGTCACTTCTCCATTGGGCTTCACATACATCAGCTGTCACCTGCAACATGTTTAAAGTTGGCATTTATGTAGAATGAATGTTAAACATACAATATCCATCTACCACTAAACAACATGTAGTTAAACTGTCGTCAAATGTACATAATTTTTCAAAAATTAATTATTTACAAAAGTCAAATTTAACTTCTTTCAAAATTAACTTATGAATTCATGATCAGTTAACGTAAGTGACAAAAAAATACTGAATTATGTCTTGGAATAGTTTATCTTAGGTTAATATGGTTAGTAAAGTTAGTTGAAACCCACCCACAACAACTTGTTTAACTTACTATGTTTACTACTGCTACTAATTTTCACTAATAATCAATAGGCATACAGTTCTGTATATTTCTACTGTCACTACAACTAATATTAATTTTACTCTAATATCAGTCTGTCTACAGATCGTCCTCCATAGCCCTCCAACACAGTCCTCCAAGAGTGTCCGCCAGGCCCCACACACTGATCACTAGGTCTACACACAGACCTATTAGGCCTCAAACAGTCAGCAAGGCACCCCCCACACACCCTCCACTGCCCAGTGTAGGAGCAGTGTCGAGTGGTTTATTGGATAAAGATACTAGCTAAGATATACTGTACAAGTAACTTAACTGATGAGGCTGAAGTAACATGCTGGTAGTTAAATCTTGCTCGAGGTTCTGTCACTTCTCCATTGGCCTTCACGTACATCAGCTGTTACCTGCAACGTGTTTAAAGTTGTAATTTACGTACAATGAAAATTAAACTTGCAACTAGATCACATGTACTTAAACTGTCCCCAACTGTTTACATAAATCATTACCTCCACATTAGTTTACCAATACAGTACGACTACACTATACTATACTGTACTGTACTACACTGCTTCATGCACTATACACAAGGTTTATTACAGCTGACTAGACCTTCCCTCCCTCATGCCCCCTTAAGTGTCAACACCCCACACCCTCTCGCAAAACGTTAAATAACCCCACCACAAGCCCAACCCACCTTCACTCTCAAAACGTTATACGACCCCACAACAAGCCACACCCAGCTACACCCTCACAAAACATTAAACGACACCACAGGAAGCAACATCCACCCACAACCCCTCACCAAACATTAAATGATACCATAGCAAGCTACGCACACCCACACCTTCACACAAAACGTTAAAATTGACCTGAAGGAACACCGTTGTGTATTGTGAGAAGCTTCACTCGTGGTCTGTTGTCCCCACATACTGCTCCACACTTCACTTGTGTCCTCATACTGCACCACACTGACCACATACTGCACCACACCAATAACAGAGGGTTTTGTACTGTAGTTGAATCTGCAGTCATTCCATGATCTGAAAAAGAAAGATTCGCCAACACATTGTAATACGTAGATTGGCTTAGGTTAAATTGATCTTCAGTTGAAATAAGCTGGGGGATGAATCTTCAGGCGAGCCAAACATTTTAACATTTTCCAGAGGTTAATTAGATGGTTACGGCCTTATTTACCAATACATTTTAACGGTGTCTTTATATACATCTTAACATTTATTTTAGGAACCCGGTATTTTTTTTTACAAGCAGACAACCAACGAACCTCCAGGTTAGGCTATGTTACGTTGTTAGGCTACGTTACGTTAGTTTAGTTTTGGTGCTTTTTGGTTGTTGACCAATGTGTTTTTCCGATGCTAAAATCCATGGTTGTCCACTTTTAAAAATTTAATATACACTGTACAAATATTCTGAAACCCCTCAACCTCGCCCTCCGCCGGCTCCCTTGCCTCGCCCGGCTCCCTACCTCAACTCGCCTCGCTTCGCTTCCTGTCTGGCTTCTTGCCTGCCTCGCCTAGCATGCCTCGCTTCGCCCGGCTAAAACCCGTAATAAATTCGGTTTCAACTCCCAGAAATCCTAGTTAAAGAGGAAGCACAGAACTAGCCAGTGAAAAATATTGTATCGTAATTCCACAAAACAGTTATATTTTGGTGATGAACGTAAGATGAAATGCGTAACTATTGAGTTATGACCACCCGGCTCCGCCAAAAGTGGGCTGGGCTTCGAAGCAAGAGGGAAAATGTGAAATTAAAAAAATAAATACAATAATTTCACCCAATCTCGTCATTGCACTCACTTACTGGTTAATTATAACGCAAATACTGATGTGCGGTTTACGCTTGTTACTCGCCACCGGTTTATAGTTTCGGCTCGGTTGTTATGGCTCATTTGGCGGTATATTTGCCTAAAAGTTTTAAAACGTTAATAAATTACTGGTTAGACGTTAGAGAAACACTTAATATAATACTAACCCATATTAATGTATTTGTTTAAGCTGCAAAGTAGGTATCATAGGCCTTACGGCCCAGTGAAACTTGGGGATACGTCTCTAGAAGCCAAGTGAACTGCAACAACCGGCTGGTAAGTTTGTTACTTAAATCAGCATTTATTACGCCATAATTAAGTACATATAAACACTAACCAAAAGAATAACCATTTCTCTTGGCCATATTGACTGTAGACAGTCGGAAAAAAATTACACGTATATAATGGAGACTAGAGGTGCGGGGTGTGGGGCGTCTTACCTCCCTGTCAGCTGCAGCTAGTGAGTGAAGAATGGGCCGAAAACGAGTTCGTCGAGACTTTATATATGAAGGTTGAGAGTGACGTCACGAAGCTTCATTGAAGCATTTGAAGCTTCGAACATGATTATACGTTCAAATATCGTAAAAACGTCAAATTTATGGCCGAACTGCGGTCCAGTGGATAAGCTTTCTGTTTGCTATTTTAGAGGACCGAGATCGAGTCACGGCGTTACTCTATTTTATTTCTCTTTTTCTTCTTTTTTTTTATTATGGAGAACTATTTTCGGATCACCTGAAGAATCATCGCCCCAGCTTATTTCACCTAACGATTAAACCACCCTAAAACTATTGTGAGAGGATGAGGTTAGGTTAGGATATGTTAGGTTAGATTTAGGTTAGGATAGAATAGGTTTAGGTTAGGTTAAGTTAGGTTAGGGTGGTTTAATCGTTAGGTGAAATAAGCTGGGGTGATGATTCTTCAGGTGATCCATTACCTCTTTTAACAATATTGTTCTTGATCTTTCGTGACTTAAGTTAACTGTAGTGGAGAATTTAATATCAGTTGACTCAAGTAGACATTCAGTGACTCCTGCTGACCTGCGGATGTTTATGTTGTTCTTTTTCAGTGGCTTATCGTGAGTGTCTGTGTGTGTATTAATTTCCGGTCTTCATCCCCTGTGGTCATCCTGTTATCTTATCTTATGCTTTTCTTCTCTATTCATCTTCTTTATCTCATTCTGTGCATTCATTCACTCTAGTAGACTAGTGTGTGTGTGTAAGGCCAATACTCTCTCTATCTTTGCTCTCTTAATTTTCCTCTATCTCCTTCTATCCCCCTTTCTTTCTTGCCCTCTCTCTATCCGTGTTTAACTCACTGGTGGATGTTTAGTTTTAATTGTTTACTTGTGTGTGAGACTAAGGACGGTGGGGAGGATTGTTTTTCTTCAATAAAGCGCCATCTATCGTCGACCACCACAACTTGATCACAATTCACTTTACGTTTTCGTCTTATACTTAACGGGAATTTAATAGAGCTTAACATTAAGGGAAACACTAATATTAACATTATAACAGTAATTTTTCGAACAATATTTAGGAAGAATTTGATAGAGAGTTAAACCTCGATTTGTTACACTGACAATTGATGTGACCATTACAACTGTGTCGGGAATGTAATCACGGATTTCCCCGACACTGACAAACAGGATGTACTCCGTTTACACAAATACATTTGCGTGAGCTCACCACTAATTGAATATTTTTAATGTTAACGCAGTATTTTAAACAGTAATGCAGAACCTCCAAAAGTGTTTGCTGACCTGAATCCACACAGCTTTATTTACTTTACTTTATTCTCTTCGCCACTGATCAGCCTGTTAGCCACTTGGGCGCTTGGTCATGACTCACGGTTACTCACTGTTGGCAAATACTATAGGTATGTACTGGTTCCAGACTGTATCTGTACCTGCGCCAGTTCACAACTCTCACTCAAAACAAGTTTGTCATGAAAGTTTTCTGAAAGTGTGGCTTCTTCAATCACTGTAATATCTTAACCGATTGTGAAGTTATATAACAATTATTGTCTAAACGAGACACCCGCGTTTTGTGTTTCGGATAAGGTAAATTCTGCAGAAAACCAGACGGACGAACAGACACTAGCATAATATAATGAAAGTACCATCATGTCTGAGGGTTGGCACCCACGACCCTTTACTCTAAATGTTTTTGGGCTGTGTTTATCAATCTTCTAGATGCTGTATCTCTCCGGGGACGACAACTGTTAAAATGATTCATCCACCCCAGTCTCT